TCAGCAATTGTTGGAAGATGTGAAAAAAATGAATCAGTGCAAGATTGAAAGACATGATCTTCTGGTAATGTTGTGGGAGCAGGGAAATGTAAGAACAATATATAAGTTAGTCAGTGTTATAAACAGTATACCAAATCATCATTCAAATAAATAAATAAACGAAATGGAATGAACGAAAAATTTTTTTTTTACGCAATTTGTTCATTACCTTTTCCTCCACACAACTCCTCTTGATACAACTTCTCCCAATTATCTCTCCTCTTCTCCAACTTTTCTTTATCTTTTTCTAAATCTTGCTTCTCCTCCATCCACATCTCTTTTTTTTCTTCATCATCACCATACTCCTTATCCCATAATTTCCTTTTCAACTCATCTAGCCTCTTTCCTTTTTCTCCATCCTCCCACTGTTCCAATTTCTTTTTCGCCTCCTCAAACCACTTCTCTACCGTTTTCTTATCCTCTTCAATCTTTTCGATATTTGCCATTTTTTTAAAAACTAAAAGATTTAAATTTTAAAAAAAAATTTTTTTTATTTAGATTGTTACAATTAATTGTTTCTATAAATAATTTGGACCAATGATAAATTAGTGGGCACATGACTTGTAATTAAAAAAATTTTTTTTTTTACTATGAATTAAATGACAAATTTTTATTTTAATTCAACTAATAATAGAAAAATACATAAAAATATAAGTTAAAGAATTGTCAGAGTTGCATGGGAGGAAAATACTCAACCCAAAGCCATTTGTGAGTATTACCTATTCTTTGGGTGCTCTGACAAAAATTCAACTTTCGCTATCATACTAAATTTTGATCCCTGTGATTTCATGTAACACAATGTTCACTTTGTCTGGTTTTGTTGCAGTATTGGAAAATTTACTTAAAATGGAAAAGGACACAAACTTAATTCTAATTTCATATGACATAAAAGTTGCTTTACCTGATTTAGATATGACTTATAATAATAATAATTTTATACCCAAATAGTTGCACCTACTTATTTAAAAAAGTATTCAGCAACTTTATCAAAATTGGATGTTTACCCAAATTATAATAATAATCCGGGGTTTTTTGAAGGAAAAAAAAAAAAAAAATTAACACAATATTGTATAATAATTATTAGTATTAGATTAAACAACTGTCGATAGGGTATTTGCTTTAGTAAGCAAGCAAAGATTTAGCACTGATGTGATTGACTAATGAGTGTTATCGTAAAAGTAAGGTTGTTAAACAAGCTGTTTAAGTTGTTTTGTAAGCGAGCTCGCAGTCAGCCAACAAGTGTGAACGACTGGAATAAATTGGTCATAAGTAAATAAAAAAGGAATTTTATAGAAGCCTTTGAGCTTTGCGAAAGAGTCATATCGATTTATTCTGTACCGTTAAGTATGCTTACAGATTCTCCAAAGTGTTTTAAGCAAAGAAAGAGGCGGTAAGCATAAACTTATTAGTTGAGTAGCCCAAAAGTTAAGCCAACATCTTCAGACTTGTCAAATAATCGACGTTGACCGAAAGTATGCCATGCAATATGAAATAACAGGATTTTAGATTGGAGGTTTTTTTTCTCTGGATTTTATACGAATCGAATCAAACCGGATTTTGAATATTATATTAATATTTTAAAAATAAAGCGTACTTATAACCAGAATAAGGCAACTACAGTTTCAACAAATCTAAATTATGTACGGGATAGGTGCTGAATGAATATATTAATATACGATATATTTTTGGGAACATGTTTTTCGCATGGCTTCCATACATGAAAAATGCATTTTAAAAAAAACACACTTTGGGCCATTTCCGTATGTATATTCCGTATATCCAGTACCTACTACTACTACTACTAATATAATTTTTTATGGGATGGAGCACAGGAAAATTGCATTTAAAATCGCGTTTCAACAAATTTAAAATAAAGATTTTCATTGGATTACTTTATAACCGAACTGGATAGAATCATAGGTTAATTTATTTATATCGGATAGTATATATCAGATTCAAAATCAAATCGTGAACATTAGACTAATTTATATATACATATATATATTGGTACAAACTAAATCAAATCACGTTTCATATCTGATTCGCCCAGAGTCTTGCTCTATTATTCTTAATAACTTTATTAATCAATCTCTCTTATAATAATAATAATAATAAAGTAATTTCACAAACAAAATCTTATATTTAAATTAAGAAATTTCAAGTATGCAAAAGTAGATTAAATTTGTTAATGTGAGCCTTAGATAATCATTACTATTTTTTAAAGCAGATGATTTTTAAAGTAGGTTTTCTTTTTCTTTACTTATGGCTTGATTTTATATTCTCTGGTGCTGGCTCAAGCAAGCTTCTTTATAGAATAAATTTCCTCGGCATGGTTTATCTGGAACTCGGAGAAATCCTTTTGTTGCAACCAACTAATTTTACATAAACCACTAATATCAAGCAAAATCTTTTTAACATCATGGAATTCAAGTTAATTGATCGATTTTAACAATCTCATAACGTCTCTCAAATTTGCAAGTTCAAAAATCAACTATTACCATTATCGGGAGATCGATCGATCATGAATTTCTGAATTAATGATCTACAATATTTTTTGACTATATACTGTATATAGTAGAAAACATGAAGGCGATGTAAAAACGAACCTTTGAATTTGAGAAGAATGTTTTTGATATGTATACTTTTTCTCACTAAAACTTGGTCTGGGAACAAACTGCACAACAACTTTTGGAGCTTCAGCTGTGGGATTAGCTTGGCTTCTTGGTAGTCTTTAGGAGTAGAACAGAATTCCCTTTTCTGGCTCAGTTCTTTTAAAGCAAGCAACTAATCAAGTTTAGTTAATTAATTTACATATTTAGTGACCAGATCGAAATAAGTCAACTAAAAATCAAAAGTTCTTCTTGAAGATATAAAATTTTATACACTTGTGGAAATTTGGTAGTAAGTAAAAGCGTGATATTTAACCTTATCTTCTTGCGTTGTGATACTGATATTGTGGCTCAAAGGTTCAGGAGATTTGGATAATTACCAGGGCTGAGTGCGTAATCATAATGAGACAAGATTAGTCGGTCACAATTTAGTCAAGAGATTTGTTGCTAAATTAGGATTTACTCCCTTTACACCAGCAACCCTGATTAGTGAACCTTGAATAGTGGAGAGGGAGGGTAATACAAGTTGCAGTTAAATGGGAAGACAATGCTTTTGAAGAAATTCCAAGAAACTACATCCACGATAATACATACGATTTAGTATTTTTAGTTGGTACATTATATATGCAATTTATGATAGATTGTGTGTGTTGTGTTGTAAAAGAGATCTAATCCTACTACTGGAATGAATAAACTTGATGTTGTGATTCTGGGAAAGGCCTTCAATATTTTGACAATACTAGTTTGGGGAGAATTTTAAGTCGCAAAAATACATCTTAATATTATGATAAAAGATATATATTTGCCCATTTATGAGAAATGATTTCAAGGATGTCATTTGATCAAGTATGCTAACGAGAAATTAATATAAAAAAATAAACCGATTACATTTAGCAATTACTGTCACTCGTATCACAAAAACATTTGTTCACTTTATATGTCCGTGTCACTCCAAATAAAGTTTTAATATCAACAACTTTTTATCACACAATAAGTAATAACTAATGGATTGGATTGAAGAGGAAGAGAAATAAATATCACTGATTTCTACTTTGTAAAGAACGCGATTTAATAATAATAATAATTATTGTTGTTGTTATTATTTCGCCAGGCTTTTTAATAAATCATGGAATTTTAATTATGAATTAGCCATTGGCCTTTTTTTATATTTATAATTTACCATATATTGTCATTAAAGAAATAGCTTCAGATAAAAAAATTTAGATCACAATTATTAGGGCCAGAAGTTCTGTCAACGGATTTTTTTTTGGAATTCAAATGTTTTAATAATTTCATTTTATCTCATGTTACACGAATGATAAAAATTATGACAAATAAAAAAAAATTTAGTATATATATATGGACAAGGTTTACAAAAAATAATTGCTGTATCACGAAATATCTAAATTTGCCAAACGCCACAATGGAACCATGTAGTTAGGGGGTTGAAATTCAGATTTTATTTCCATTCCTTTGCTGTTAGGTCTAGCTTATTGAGTGATTCAACAATAAAACCGTACGGTTGAATCCAACTTGCTTGAATTTCCTACTTCTGTACAAGGGAGGCAGCGTGGTTTTTCATATTTTAATTTTATGTAATTTGGAGAAATGATTTTTTTAATACTAATTACACCTTATGTTTTTCAAAATAATTAATAAAGAAAAGATTACTTGTGAAATTTACCAGAAAGAAAGAAACATCGTGATCATTAAAACAAAGGGCATTAACACAAAACCATAAAAAAAAAATCGAGAAACAATCTTTTTCATTAACCATGGTTGAATATGTAAATTATTCCTCAACATCCTCCGTTGGTAATATCTTTGAATATTCATCTTTAACAAACAGGCAAATGTTGTTGTAAAGGCATTCTTGACGTTTGAGATCTAGGTGTCAATATTTGAAAATGATAAGAATTAATATCTTTTATGACAGTAGAGATTTCTGGATTTTCTAGTTTTAAATAGCGTAAATTCATGAAAGGATCCATTTGCAATCACTTGAGCTTTTGCCACACCAGGATTAGAAATTTTCTTTTCATAGATTGAGTCTTATTCAATACAGCAATACTAGGCACTGCGCAAAAGCCAATATGGTAAATACAATTATTTCTGACGATCATTTTTTGATTTTTTTTAACCCCCGTGATTTCCTTGTGGCGTCGTTGCAGCATGCTCATATATTTTTCTCACATTTTTTCTTTTTAAAAAAAAGTTCTTATTTATTATTATTATTATTATTATTATTATTAATATTATTATAATAGTTATAATTATTCTTTAAATTACAAAAGTTTAAATTTAAAGGATTATTATATATTACTATATATTACATTAAAAATTGCATGCACTATGGACAAAACCAACGTACTCACAATAGTAAGTGGAGAGAATTAAAGACTTCATTTTTTATTATAAAAAAATTTTTCAATCATTTAAATACCGCTTGTCATAAATATTTAATTTATTGCCTTTCCTCCCTAAAACAATAATTTATAATGAACGAATTTAAAGACAAACGTTGAATATGTTGGCTATCGTAAATTAAGTTTCACGTGCAGTACTGAAGAATTGCAAACTTTCATCACTTCAGCTGCTCCATTAATTCCGTTTTCCTCATTACCATTAAGAACCGAAAAAGATTTAAGGGATGCTGTTATCAATAATTATATATCCCTAATTGATAGTGGCATCCCTTGTTTATGGAGATATTCCGAGGGAACAAACCTCGAACACATCTACAACCACGGTGAGATAACTCGTGAGCTGTGGGTTTTCTGGTTGGGTTCCGATGTTCCTGCTGTTTTGGCAGATTTATACAAAAAAGAAGGTAAAAAAAAATTTTTTTTCATGATTTTTGTTCAATTTTACTTGATTTTATTTGTCAATAATATTCACGCTAATATTTTTGTACGCTTATCCATAAATTTTTTTTTTCATTATATTTTTATAGATTTTGTTCATCATTGTGATGGTACAATTTCATTTGATAATTACGATCGGGAATTGGAGGCATATGGATTATTTGTATCGGCGATGAAGAATATAACAAACCGGTAATTGACACACACACATATATATATTGATCTTCGTAATGTTGGTTTATTATAATAATAATAATTTTTTTGATATACAGGTCTTTAATTAAGATGGGTGCTCTCCCAGTAGGCGAATGGTGCACATTTCCTACAAAAACACAAGATTTATACGACAGGCATGATAAAAATCTCTGTTAAATGTTATTATTATTGTTGTTATTATCATTATCATTATTATTAGTAATAACAAAATTATTTTATGAAAATAAATAGTGTATTGTCATGTAAATATGATATTTGTCTTTCTTCCTCCAATTTGATAATACAGCCAACAGTCAAATATACTAGTATGCGCCCAATTAGAAGATCAGATCTTGAATTAGACGAGATTTCTATATTATTAGCACCATCAGGAATCACAGCATCACTATTACCAATAAAAAAATATAAAGAGGAAGATGCTAATGCCATCACAGATGATTTTGAAAGACTTTTTTCAATAAAATTATCAACATTAGATTGTACCGATTTACCACAAATAATGGATGTAAAGATAACTCATGACAACATAATCAAAGAATTTCCATACCCAACGCAATGTATTTACGTAATATCTGAGTTGAATATGGGTTATCAACGTGGCATCTCCGATGTTGGTACGGCTCCACAATTCTGGAATAATAAAAAAACTGAATTATATAATACCGATTGGTGGAATTACAAAGATCCTACACGTGAAGCTCAAAAGACATTATTACAGAGAAATCATATTGATCACAATGGTCAATCGCCATCAGGTGTAGAAACTTCAATGACTCCGAATACTCCCGGTCTTGCTAATAATGCTACTTCAAATGTCAACTCACCCGGTCACAACAATTTATCATCACCATCATCGTCACGATCTAAAAAACGTTCATCAGGAGAAACCAAAGCATCATATCCATCACCGCCTGATGTTTTAGCAACTACTTCTTCTTCTTCTTCTTCTTCTTCAACTGATCAGTTGCAAGCATCGTCATCATCATCAAATGATTTATTACCGTTAAACGATGAATATGGAATGATGGATGAAGTTTTTGGTTACGATGTTGATATAATTGAACAAGAGATTACTGAAGATGACTTTGAAATGTTTGATACTATGAATGAGGTTAGTTAGTATTTAGATAAATTTTGCATCATTAAAAACTTTTTTTTGTTCTTTATTTCAACATATTCTAATAATATTATCAACAACAGCCCAAAAAAATCACTACACAACCAGTAAATGCCACACATAATCTTAGTAATCTAAAAACAACAACAACGACAGCAGCAAATACTACCATCACTGCTGCTGCTACTGCCACTGCTACTGCCAAAACAGCTGCTACTATTTCCATCACCACTGTTACTACTGCTGCATCTACTGAACTATCAAATAATATGGTAGTTGAAACCCCACAAATACCAAAAGAAAAATTGATTCATCAAAAAATATTAAAAGACTTGGAGTTTGTTCCAGAAAGAAACCCGTTAGTTCCTGACGAGTGGGCACCATTGAAATTTAATAATCCTGATAATCACAAATTTCAACCAGGTGGAAGTTATTGGACAGTTGTCAATGATAAGAAAAGAAAAAGAAGTTTTACATATACACCTGATTACAAGCCTCAACATTTACAAGCTAAAAAACCTCGTCTAGAAAAAGGTATCGCTGCTCTAACAATCAAACCGCAAGATAAAACTACTGCTGTCGATGATGAAAATGATGATGAAAATGACGAAGATGATGATATAGAAATTGCTAATGACAATTTGGCTAGTTCTGATGAAAGTAGTAGTGGTGATTATGATTCAGACGATTATAGTACTGATTCATCAATCGATTTCAATGATCGTGCAGAAACCAATCTACAAGACTGCGATAGAAGCAGTCGAAATTTGGGATTTGTTAATTCAGCCAGATTCATGTCAGTTATAGCTACGCTTAGTCTTTTTGGTGCGCCCAAGAAAGCTCATGTAATTAATAATAATAATAGTAATGACGAAACGTTGAGTTATGATAAAGCATTGGCATTAGACTCCCTTCGTGATCAAGTTGCATTAGGTTCTTATCCTTTTGGTGTTGGACTTAAAGGCGAAGGTGAAAGTATATCAGAACTTGTAGATTCAAAACAACGTTTGATGCAGGCACTTAAAGGAGGTAAGAAAGAGAAGTTTATAACTTAAGATTATATTTACAATATGTAATATAAATAAATATCTTTTTATTTATTTTTATATATTATTACTATTCTAGAGTTGCCAGTTGCTTCTGCTCTTCCTTGTGAAATTGACGATGTTACGAATTCATTTAAAGAAGTTGTTAGTGATGTTTGTAAAAATTTACCCAAATCAGAAACACTTAAAGAAATCACAGTTAAAGGACCTCTTACACTTAATGCATATTGTGACTTAATTGGTTAGTTCTTTTGATAAAAAAAAAAAAAAAGAGAATATATAGGGATATATATATATATGTATAATAATTAATATTTATTTATTTATTTATTTATTTATTTGTATCATTTATTTTCCTTTTCCTCTGTTTTATTTGTTTTCAAAAAACTCAATTATTACTTTAATATAAATGTAAATAGGGACAGAATATTTGAACAAAGGTGAAGGTGAAGTGCCTTTATCTTTTCTTGAAGAACTCCCAACTCCTGATATTACAGTTGCAGCTACTGAAGGTTCAAATGAATATTTGATTGATTGTTCGCCGGAAATTATTCAATACTGGGACAAACATAATATTATTCCGTATGACGGAAAGAAAAATATCAGATATTATGTTCTTTATCCGGACAATGAGCATCTACGTGATTATGTTAAATCATTTTTTGATAGATTAAGTATTCATTATGAGGTTTGTAATTTTTATTATAAAAAATGATGATAACCATGATAATTATAATAATCACAATAAAAATAATTTTGATAATTATATTAATTGATTGTAAATTTTAGATGTGTTCCTTGGGTTCACACAAATCTGCCGAGATGAACGGCACCTTTCATGGACTTATTCCTATTTCTCTTAATCGTAAGTATTAATAGCAAACTAGTTGGTTGATAAATTAAATAAATTATCATTTTACTAATTATCTTATATTTTAATTAGAACCGGTTCTTGGCGAATCTGAGCTCAATCGAAGAATTAAAAGTTATGAAGATCGTTTTTCAATATTTGGTATATATTTATTATATTTTTTCATCCAAGAAAATTATTTAATAAATAATTGTTAAAATAAACGATTGAAATTAATAAATATTTCTTTATTAGGCAAAAAATATTTGACAAAAATGATTGATCCATATCAAAATGAAGATATTGTCATCTATATTGTGAACCCATTCAACCATTCATCAGCAAATTATGATGTTATGTATAGTTTTGTAAGACTTATTATGGAATTCAAAAAAGAGCTGGGGAGTCGGTTGAACCAAAAAATCATCGATAAGATCATACCTCAGATAGTACCAGCTGAACACATTATCACTTATGGCGAGACTATTTTCAATACTGCACACGATAAACAACTTCTTCAGCAATTAGCATTCAGTGTTTATACCAGATCAAAGGTAAAATAATGAGTATAAAGTATCGTAAAATGAAATAAATAAATTAACAATTATTTTATTTTTTCAAAAATAGAATTATAAAGTGCCATTTGTATTACCCAAACCTGACGTTATCGATGTCAAATTTCAATCATATAAAGAAGTAATGCAACAAAAATCAATAAATAAACAAACGAGTCCGCTAAAATATGATACAGTATTACATATGTCGTATGGTTACAGCATTGATCAAAAAATTATTTTTGTTGTATGGATTGACACGGAAGGAAAGAATTACGGAAGCACATCAATAACAACACATTTTGATAAAGAACGACAAACGATCGATACAGAGTTCTCACTCAAAGAGGCGTGGAAACGTACACATGAGTTCTGGGGGAAATCTGGTAAACATAGACGTATCATTATAACGAAAGCAGGCGAAATGAGTAAAGAAGAAGTTAATAGTATGTATATTCATTCATTAATCCATTCGCTTTTATTCAATCATTCATTTATTTGAAATATAATATAAATTTTTTAATCATAATAATAATATTATTTTATTAATAATTAGTTTGGATAAATTTGACTGAAGGAAAATATGCAATATTTTGCATGAATATCGAATCAAAACTAAAATTCTGTCCTCAGACCTCAAAAGATGATGATAGAAAAGTATGTGGCTTAACTTTAAAACATCCAATACCACTTTACGATTTTAAACCACTGGCAAGTGGTTATATATTAGAAGTAAATCGTAATGAATGTTTATCAAATGGTGTTCAGGTAATATTAATAAACTTGAAAGATTTACACTTGGTCAGGTTAATTAAATTAATATATTTATTTATAGGTCGATCTGGTGTATAATCCTTCTGATGCGGGTAACGATAACGAGACTTTATGGGAATGTGTTCAACATTTCCATCAATTAGTATATATGGAAGTTTCACCGAAAAAAACTACTCTGCCATTTCATATACTGATGATAGAAAGGTTGATTAGAACTTTTGTTGGTGTTTCTTTATAATCATTGTCGATTACAAAGGTGTTGATAGATTTAGATGGATTAGATTAATCTGAAAAAAAAAAATATTTAAAATTAATATCTTTATCACCTTTTTTGTAATATATATATATATATATGTATATATGTATATGTATATATATATATATATCTTTAATATATGTATATATCTTTCTTTTATATATATATATGTATATATGTATATATGTTTATTTATTTATATGTAACAAAACCAGACAAAGTGAACATTATGACACAGAGAAATTTCAGGGGATCGATTTAGTCAAATCACAATTGTACTACAAATATAATGTGATTATGATGATATATTGATGTCCTTCCATTTTTATTTTATTTCTATTAATTATTCAGTATTCTTTCTACATAATAAGTATTAATTGATTACATTATTCGAAACAAAGATTCATTAATGTTTATGCATCCAAGTCTACTATTAAAAAATTAAACACTATTTTTTTTGCTTACAATAAATAAATCTTTTTTCCTTGTTATATCATAAGTAAATTTATTTGATTTGCACTAGAAATGACACAATCAATCCTAGTTGATATAAAGGTCAATCGGTTGATAGTAGATAGTTATGGTATACTCATAATCCCACCCTGTATTTGATTAACATAAGAGTTATTACGAAAACATCATCAACAATTCATATAAAAAAAAGTCGAGCCACGAGCATCTTTACAATAATAATTTAATAAAAATGCTCAAATGAATTTTCTTCTTTGGGGTTCGTTTCATTATGAAATGCGTTACTATTACATAAAAATCAGCCAACAATTGTTGGCAGAGATATAAAAGTATTTGAAAATTCTATCACCAACATTATGTCATTGTTACTCAAAAAATGAATAAAATTTTAATTTTGAAAGTATACAAATAATAATAATCAATTACATGAAGGAAGGTGAAATTTTGGAAATCACAACTATTACCATCAGCTGGAGATTCAATACATTCAGAATTCTCAAGTTGTTCCTGTTGTAGTATTTCTCCAAGTATACTTGCAAATAATGTTTGAAATTCGAAAAAGTCATGATGCATTTTCTCGTAATCTTCAATCTAATAATCACTTCACATCAAATAATAAATGATGAACAAATAGGAAAAATTTTAATAGAATTAAATTATCACAGAATGATTGCAAACAATGTTTGTTAATGAAGACTAACGTCGGGATCAATGGGAAGAAGATAAAAGGCAGCGATGGTTAGAAACAATATCTAATAGTTTACCATGCAGAGAAAATTATGTATTTTTTCAATTGATGTATAATTAATTGAAACAAAAAATCTTGTGTTTGGGCAAATTAATGAGAAACGTGGGTAACTATGTGCATTGGTGTAGAAAAGGCAGCATGGTTTTTGAATATATTCATATTAATATTAATATTAAGGCACGGGTTCATGAAATCTTCAAAAGTGGAAAGGGATCTTCTTGTATTTAATTGGTAACATTAGATTTAATATATAATTGCGGTCTAAATTCATGAATTACGGCAATTTCATATATCAAAGACGCGTGATTGAAATTCACATGCGCGAGGCCAATCAGAATTTTGTATGCAAACATCCATTCCAAAAATTCTAATTATAAAATTTCACAATTTGATTTTGATTCATAACAGCTGACCGGGTCATTGAATGACCATGGTAATTAGGCCATTTCGTTTAAATCGACCAATAAAAATTCATAATTGAAAAAAAAGTAATACTTTTGTGAGAAAACTTTAATTTTTGAGGATGAATTCAAACAGAATAAGTTTGAAAGGTGTTTACATTTGCTGTATGCAAAAGCTTAGAGATACAGCCATTCGCACAAATAACATCTGGATGCTTTACTACCAATACAGCTTGCCAATTGTGAAAATTTTTAAGTCAACTTATGCTGATGAAAATTTTGTGCCTGAAGATAGAGTCCTGTAACCTTACCCGTACCCGTATTCGGATGTGGGTAAATATTAATGTTAATATTAATATTAATCTCCTTACCGTACTATGCTAATACACCTCATTATGTAAAGGTGGAAAAAGGGGGTAATAACTTAGAAATATTTATCATCATTATAAGAAGCAGCAGCAAATTTTGGATTTATTGTTGAATGCTTTATCATCTTGTCCTTTTTTATCATACACTTTAATCCTTCAGTGTAAATTCTATTTATATCTATTTTATTGTCTAAATATGAAGGGGAGACTGGTAGTTGTCGATTACAAGAGAGACAAATATATCATTGAGTTGTTTTACAATCATTAATCGATCAATTTTTTTGCATGAATTTCCTTTGGATACCTTTTTTTATTTATCATTTGTCAAATAGAGTTTTTTATGTATAAGATATTGGGCGCGCAAGCGGCCAATATCGAGTAGGGATGGGGCGGCTCCACTATTAAGCTATTCTTTCAAACGTCACTATTTTATTAAAGTTTAATTTTTTTCACTACATAGATTTGCTCGCTTTACATTTTTTCTTTTATTATTATCATTTTATATGTCAAAAAGAAAGGTATTGCTTAGTAAGTTTCCTACAGTTACTTAACAATAAAATATTTTAATAAAATTCAGAAGCTCTTTGATTTGTAGTTTGTAGTATAACGTTGAGTAGATTCTACTTTAGGAGATATTTCACCATTTCATTAATTCTGTATGCATATCTTGTGCTGAATAATGTTCACTTCTACTAACATCATTATCTGGATGAAATCCTTGTAAGATGGTAAGAAAATCTCAAATTTTCGATTTTTTTCAAGAATATAATTTTACTAAAAGACTTGGTAGGATTATAATATTAGTTTCGGGTTTACACTAAAAAATCTTTACAATCAAGATAAATTTATCCAGTAAATAATTACAATTCTAGAAGGTTATGAGATGGATATGCATTTAAAATACCAGATAAAAAATTAATATATACTATTTTTATTATTGTCATGTTTATGGGTTGATAGCCTTGGTCCAAAACCTATAATAAAAATACATATACTTGTTATACAATAGCGATTATTTCTATTATTGATCAAATTTTATTATACATATTGCATTTTTCTGGACATTGTTTAAGATTTAAAATGCTTAATTTGGGTCATACAATAAGAGCAACCATTTGATTATACATATTAAAAAACGCCAAAATTATGCAAATGCATTTTTCTGGACATTGTTTAAGATTTAAAATGCTTAATTTGGGTCATACAATAAGAGCAACCCGTTATAAAAGAAAAAAATAGTTCACCCTTTCATTCATTACTTCATTACTTGAATAATTCGTCCATTAAATTTTTTGAAGTATGTTATTTGCAACCGACTTAAACATTAAAATTATTCGACTCAAGCTTCTTGGAAAATTCTCCATTATTATTTTATTTTACCTTTTTGGTTTTATCTCCACAACACAAGCTTCAATTATATACAATTCAACTGATAATACTTTTAAATGTTATTCTAATGGTGTGATCACTGATGATATTTCTAGTTGCAAAGAATATCAGGGATATGACTTACTTGATGTTACGTTATCAACATTTCTACCAGCATTTATTTATATTTGTTTCTCCGAAGATTTAAAAGGCACAACATTTACAAAAGCCGTGAGGTTTTTTGTAAGTTTTTCCACAAATTTATACATGATATTTATAGTAGTTTACTCTTTTTTAGCTGTTAAAAGTGATGTTAATACTAAGTCTTCTTGGGCGATAGCATTTATATGTTGTTGTGTTTCTAGTTTCATAGCCTTTTTATTAAATGGTTTATTTAGGATAATTTATAATAATAAGGTGGATAGTGACAATCGTTTTGTGAAGCTTTTTAGGACCTTAGGTGGTCTAATCACGGTTTCCCTATTTATCTTAGTTTACTATTTTCTGGTTACAAATCGTGATAGCATTACAACTGAGATGTTAATATGGATCTTCATCATTTTAATAGCATCATTAATTACTTCGATAGCATTAGTTTGGTATTGCGAAATGAAAGGAGGTTTTCTTAGTGCTCTAATAGATAAAATGAAGAATAAAACCATTGGACATGTGTTCTACGTGTGTGGCTTAACTCTGTCATTGACTACAAATGTTTTACTTGCTCTAGAGATTGCCTTTTGGTTTGATTTGAATAGTTATCAAAGTAAATTATTGTGGAATGTAACAGCATTGAGATTGACTATACTAATTTTGGGTTATCAAGATTCAGAAAATTCCACAGCAGCAGAAAAATCTGAAACTTCAATTAGAATAAGTGAGGATGTTGAAAATATGAATGTGGATGTGGAGCAAAATAAAATTTTTTTTGATGAAAAAGAAGGATGATTTCTTGTTATATATCAAAAAAAAAAATATATTATTTTGATTATTTTGATTATTTTGATAAAAATGATTTATATCTGTTTTAAATATATATATTAATTATTTTCAATTTTCAAAAGGAATATAAAGTTAATTATCGAATTATTATATTTACTTTATTCTAATATTGCCTTTATTAAAAAAAAAAGATTTATTATATTTAGAAATATTTTATTAACAATAAAAATAAAGGCAATGATATTTTCTTTATCAATATACCACTACATGGACAAAGTCCATCGCATTTTTAAACAAAAATTGCACAATAAAAGTATATCATTTGTAGCTTAGGTACTCAAAAATTTTACCCCTAAAAAAAACTTAATAACCACGCCTTAGATTTCAACAATATTGCCTTGAGTTTTTTTGTAAGCAAGCAACAGTTTTTGAACAAATATATTGAAAAAAGAAAAACAATGTACCTAATTACAAAATATCAACATTCATTGAACAGTCTTTCTACTATCAAAAAAGATCTTGATGAAATGATATCAAGCAATTATATTAAAAATAATTGGCGGCCAATGAAATATTGAGTCAACCATTACTTTATTTAAATTTTAATACCGAAACAAACTGTTCTCTCAATGGATCCAGTTTTCTATTAATATTAATATAACAAAGTTTATATTCTGTATACAGTATATAAATGGCGGTCTTTTATTGTTATTATTATTGTAAATACCAACTTCTTTTAGCAAATATTAGCATTAGTATAAATTGATTGTTGATTGTTAGTTCTACTAGGCCTTCTTTTTAAATATTCGCACATGCACAAATCCACTTTTGTTATTAATGAAAATAAAATGAATACCGACTTCTTTCATTAAATTTATGACTAGTAACATGCAAGGCCATGCACATTTTTTTTAAAAAGATATTTTAAGTCAACTAAAAAATGAATCATTCTGACGGCTTTGCAAAAAGAAAGAGTCATGCTTGTTGAAACAAAGGAATCCAAACATTTCTAATATTAAACTTGTAATTTCATACAATATTCCAATCTGTTGAAAAGAATATGGGGAGATTGTTTTGATAGTATTGAACAATCATTATTATTAAGCCAAACTTGATATAGCGGGTGATATTATAAAAAAATTTTGCACATATATTATTAAATAAAAGTGTTCAGATGGTTGGAAATCTAAATTCAAAGAAAGGAACAATATAAGAAAAATATATTAAACATGATGAAAGTGTCAGCGCACCTTTAATTAATATTGAAAGGTTCAGCCAAGGCATTAAAACTTTATATCTATATAGTAGAAATTATCATTCAATCTGGTTTGTTTTGGAAGTTAGAAACTTTATGAGTCTTAGTAACTGGCCCATTTCAGGAAGGAAAAAATAAAGAAAGAATCACCATCTTGTAATTCTGATGGGCCTGAAAGATTAGTATTAAAACCATGATATATTTATGTGACATATACACTGCCCTCCAAAAAGTATTCGGACGATGTTTTTCAATAATTACGCAAAATGCCACATAACGAAAGTACATAAAATTTATGTCATAATGTGGAGAACCTATGTGAAAAATCTCGTTTTTTTATCATTCTTTTATGATTTTTAGTTAAAAAAAAACAAACACTGGTCAAAATTTATCTTATTTTATGATGATCATTTTATATGTTTTTTTAAATTTTCGGCATTCTCGTAATGTTTGATAGTGTCGTGAACTGTAGACTTTGGAATATTAAGTGTCTTTGCGATTTTTGCAAGAGAACTACCAGC